CCTCCCTCTTAATTGCATCAATTCTATTTGCGGTAAAAATTAAGGAGAAGAGGTAGCTGGATGCAGAAGGGATAAAAAAACCTGTGTCTGGACACCGGAAAAAAGTCACTAAACAAATCCTATGGTGCAGCTGTTTCCCGAAGCCCACGTGGATCTGGCCAGGATTGTATTTTACACTGCTGACAGTCTGAAAAAGCCACACAACTCCAATTCTCATCCTGCTGGGAATTCACACTAATGCCACGTCACTACTGTTGGCAATTTTTCCTAATACTTCCAAAGAACAGTCAGCTTGCCCTTCCTTGGTTTTAATTCAAATACTGAGATTTTTGGAAGTATATTTTTATCATCTCTTCTCCCCTGCTAACAGAGACCAGGAGGGTTTTGCAATGCTTTAGGGTCCAGCAAAAAGTCCTCCTGAGAGTCATACAGATACAGACCACAAACTGCTTCACTTCTAAGGGATTGGCACAAGAAAGGTGGCTGCAAAGATGGCAAACTCCTCAAAATTCTGCTGGAAATGGAAAACAGAACTTTTCCACTGCCAGACTTGCATAACCAAGAGAGGTACTTGGAAAGAAACATGCACAAACCAAACATGTGCATCTCCTTTTGCATCACAGAGTCTCAGCACCAAAAGTGATGCCACAGGATATCATCCTTCTTCTCTGTTCTCCCAGCACCATGACATGATCTTAGTGGGATGGAGAAAGTCAAAGGACCTTAGTGAAGCACTGCAACAGGTTGCCTGCAGAGATTGTGGACTCCCCAACCCTGGCAGTGTTCCAGGCCAGGTTGGATGGGGCTTGAAGCAACGTGGTCTGGTGGAAGGTGTCCCTGCCCATGGCAGGAGGCTGGGACAAGACGATCTTAAAGGTCTTTTCCAACCCCAAGCAATCTGTGATTCCAGGATTCTAAAATCCATGTGTATCCACAGCCTGGGAGACTCACCAGGGCGTGATGGACAGCCAGGTGTGAATTTTGGGCATCACCTACCCACACTCCTCCTTTGCCCACAGATGCTGCTCCTTACACAGGTTCCTGATAAACTGAGCCCTAAATAAGCAAACTCCCAAGTTACAGTTGTGTGTTTGCAAAACAAACAACTTTAGAGAAAATTACTTAAAATTTACATTTTTCTTTCAGCCAACTGAACAAAACCTGCTAAATATTTTCTAAACACTTCAAGGCTACAAAGGTAAAAGCCACCAGCAGGACTTTCAGGCAAGGAAGAGTTTACTATTGTAACTCTACAAATTCCTGGGCGCTGAATCGCCTACTAGAAGGCAAAATATATGAGTGGCACTAAGGAGGTGGCTTAGCAACCAGCAGGCAGGCTGCTTTGAGTGGCTTTCTAAAGGTCAAGAGAGAACATGTCGTCTGGGAGCCCTCACGTTCACTTTTTCACTGTGATTTAATGATATTTCCAGCCAGTTTGGTTATTAAATTGCTGCCTCACACCAAGCCGCCACACATCTTCTCAACCAGTCTTTAAGACTTTTTTCTCCTAAATATTATACCTCTTTCAACCCATTCCCATCCTTCCCTATCTTCACCAAAACGGTGGTATTTGAGGGGAAAAGCTGTGTCAAAGAATCACAGAAACAAACAACTTGGAAAAGACCTCTGAGACCATCAGTCCAACTCCATGGCACTAAGTGCCACGCTCAGGCTCTCCTTAAACACCTCCAGGGATGGCGAGACAACCACCTCTCTGGGCAGTCCATTCCAGAGTATAAGCACCCTTTCTGCGAAGAAATTCTTCCTAATGTCCAACCTGAACCTACCCTGGCAAAGCTTTAGACTATGCCCTCTCATCCCATCAGTAGCTGCCAGGGAGAAGAGCCTGAATCCCACCTGCTTACAACCTCCTCCTAGGTAGTTGTAGAGTGATAAGGTCACCCTGAGCCTCCTCTTCTTCAGGCTAAACACCCTCAGCTGCTCCTCATAGGACTTGTGTCCCAGACCCTTCACCAGTCTCACTGCCCTTCTCTGGACACACTCGAGATGCTAAGATGAAACGCAAGTAAAGATCCTGCCACTGAGGGGATTTTCAGGTAGCA